GATCTCGCATTCTTGCGCTCTTATTTTTCCTTCTCGCTTTTTCGATGCAATATTCTACCTGACCGCGTATGGAAACCTGAATGGATCCTCTTTTCAAGCAGAAACTGCTGCGAAATCTTACAGAAACTTTTACGTGCTTTTCCGGCAGCCGTTTGGAAGACTCTTCGCCGCAACTCCAATGATCCGGGCTAATGATCAGGTACCCTTGGTCGAATAACCAAATATCTACTATAGCTGCTGAAATACCTGTATATTGCTCAACACAACACAATTTCAAAAATGGCTGCATTCATAATTGATGACATCAACATTAATTTGAGTCCGTTACTCAGACAATTTGTAAATCAGAAGAAAAATTTTTGTTTCAAGTTGAACTTATCCAGAGTATGGTCAATTTGTTTCCTCTCGAAATAAGAATAACTTCGAAACCGCTATCAGAAGCTCAAATCATTAGAGCACAAATAATTTTAAATTGAGTGCAGTACTTTCAGAATATGACATCACATTTTCACTATTGTAGGCCTGATTATTTTTCACGGAATGCCCGTAAAACCCCGGGTGCAGCCTATACCTAAGAAATTTGGTCTCATCTTCGCGGCCGACACTTAGACGCATAGACTAATGCTGGTTTCATTGATTCGTGGCATATAGATAACGTGTCAAAAATTTTCCATACCTGTTTCAAATTAAATGGATCAGTCAGAAGGTGGGGACGAATATTTAATCGCATAGTATTCTAAAATATGCACACATTTCCGGAAAACTAGTTTTTGTCAGTGCATTGATCTCGTGGCGCAACATTTTCATTTTCTTGCGGCCAATGCTGAAACATCTTTTTCCCCTCAAATCGCTGCTTAAAATTGGAGTACGACCGAAACCACGCGGTATATAATCGCGAATATACAGCATTATTCCATTCCGACCGAACAAGCTCTTACAAATTAAGAATGCTCAATGAAACTGCATGAAATTTCATGCAAATGGGAGTTTCGCCTGAGAACGTGACGTACACGGTTCGTGGACGATTTCCCGCATCGCTCGACTGCAAATCAAGCGAATTTTTGCGTGAAAAGAAGGAATGGAATGTTATCTTTTCCGGGGAGCCGGGAATGAAAGTTGTGGAATGAAGCCGAGAAATTTAAGAAACGAGTGCGCTAGTTGAAAAGGAACAAACACCCCCGGTCCTTTCAGACGCCAGCGTGGGAGGCACTGAGTCAGCAGAAAAGTTTTTTTTTTTCATCGCTACGCGCTGTCACTTCTTGAATCGACCACGAAAAGCGGGTTCCTTGACCCTGGCTGTCTCGGAACCCACACTGCGTGGGTGTTCGGCATAGCCCCGGGACGCAAAAGAAAATCTCTGTCAATTTCGCGGTCGAGCCAGTCGTGGAGTGTTCACCGCGCAAACGCGGGCATATCGTCGGTTTTCAAGCCGCAACCCGAGACACCACTAATGAACTCCGCCGGGACCGAGACCAGAATGTCGGGGGACGCATCATGCATCTTTCCGCGGCACGTATCAATCATTCTCGACGTGATTTCACCCGAAACTGGAGTCACTCGTGGGCCTCGAGATGACCTGAATACCTGACTGGACGGCGGAAACGATATCTGTACAGTCGTCCCACTCACTTCTCAACAATCGAAGGCTCCACTGACGAAATAAATCCGGCTTGTTGGAACTCATCAATCGATGGAAATTTATGTCAGCCGCTCGAATACGCAGTTCTTCAGTACTAATGGGCACGTGCTTCTCGAAAATGGAATGAGGGCTGACAGTTACATGGCGCACCAAAAAAAAAGTAGACCGATTTTCGAACTGTAGAATCTACAGAACGATGAAACTCATCACGCTTCAAAAATAAACCATTATTGCTCATTCAATTACCTTTTGAAAGATATCAGGATCTGTGATTTCAAGTGGATTGGTATCACAACTCCACGCATTTCATAGATCATACACAGATATTTAAAAAAAATGTATGAACGGTCTCACGCATGTTCTAGGGATTCTCATGCCGTTTGTCCCCGACACGCGTGTCTATTGCCATTTTTGAAGGGGTATTCCAAGTTTCTTAATGATTCACCCAACAAAGCGACTCGAACGATCAGAATTATGAACGTAGCATCGAGAGGACAGAGTTTACGGACCGGACAAAAATTATCTTTTCGATATTTGTCTCGCAGAGGATTTTTTCAGCGATTCCCAGATGCAATCATTCCACGCCTCACCAGTCGACGGAGCGTTTGAACTAAAGTACAGTATTGAAAAACGAGGTCCTTCCAATTCGTGATGCGGTGAACAAAAATATTTGTCGGAGTCGTCTGGGATCACCATTCTTAGCTCCTCAAAGGTCAGCTGAGTCGGGCAAGGGCGACGATTAAACGCCGTGATAGTCGGATGATAGCAATTACTCGCGGAATCACTATGAAGCCGTGACAGCCGCAAAACGCGTCTCGGCCCATGACCCTAACGAAGCAAGTACGGCTCCGAGTCAAGAAGGTCGCGCAGCCGGAAAGGAGCGATCTGCGCGGGAAGTAATTACGCGGACACTAATTGTTTACGATCAGACTTTTTCACACCCTTCCTTTACAGCATAATTGATCCATAATTCGAATCATAGCTCCACGGGAGGCCGTTTTGGGATACACCACTAAAAATTGTTGAGCGGTGCCCGGAGTGAAGCATTCCGACGAAACAGAAAAAAAAAAAAAAAGATTAGCGCCCAGAAAAAAAATATCCATCGCCAATTGTTTCACTCGATCCGGCGCTTGTCTGGATTAGACCTTCTCTTTTACTTCCGGGGTATTGTGTGGTTTGATACATGAATTGAAAAAAATTCTTATTTCAGGAATTCTAGACATTCAACCATCAATCAAAAGTTACAAACGTTACTGCACTTCGACTGCGTAAAATGGGGACAATAAGAAGACGATTTTCGAGCTGTCGCATCTCCTCGACCTATAGACGTCTCTAGGTAAGCAAATATTTTGAAATACAAATTAAACCTTTTTCATCTACATTTTATTTTGAACGATGCCTTGCTCATGGTTTTACGCTTATTGTTATGACAACCACGGCCACTTGAATAAAATATGAGCGCGATTAAAAAGTTCCCACATGCTGTTTTACGAGGGTTTGAAGGGGACCGTGCAAAGGTACAGTAGTACCAGTTACTCAGAATGACTTGCCAATATTCAACCATTCACATTGTTCAGAATGGCAATTTATGGTTGTGTGAGAATTTTTCAGAAATTTTGGGGATTTTTCGAAAGGATGGTGGAGAGGAAAAGGAAGAAGTAACCTGTGTGCACAGTAAATTCCTGGCAGGAAAACGAATTGTTTCCGTCTATTGTACTGTACGTCGAAAAGGATGCCATGTCCGATAAAAGAGAAGTTCTAAAAGTTGATCGAATAGCCAGAAAATTAGCCATGGATGCTCTTTGTGCAGGTTATTTTCTCTTGATGAAGCTTGAACAGATGTCCATTAAATTTGATCGAAAAATGATTGCAAAAGGATCCGTCCTTGTAAATATCCAGCTTTACCCAGGGAACCTTGAGGGCACAAGAACTGCGGCTTAGTAACGATCAATACGCGCTCATCGGTAACGTGGCCATTTTCTTCTCCTTATTTTTACATTATCCGTCTTCGAAAGAGTCATCGCAGGAATCCTTAGAAAGGTGAGCCGCATCAGTGCATCATGTAAATACCATCGGTGTTACCTCGCATTTCTTTCGAATCTTGAGCTACGCGACGTCACAGCCGAAGGTTTCGAGCAGGATCCAATAATCGTCACTGTCTCTCTGGCAAATCAACGTACATATAGTAAGCCTGAAAGATTTGTCCATCGGAAGCAGGATTTCTAATCGCTCGGAAGCCATGGCTACATCACGGACACTCGCATAAAGCGGCTCACGGAATAAAACCCGGTCGCGACGATTTTTCTCTCCCGCTTGCATCAAACATCTTACCAATCGCCTCAACGACCTCCATGACGCAATCATTCGGTCAAGAAGGCACTCGGTCAGCTATAGATACACGTATTCAGCAACTTGATTCCATATATAGTCGGTTGCCGGAAACATGCGCACACAAAACGATTTCTTGCGAAAAGGAATATATCACCGAGCAAACACAAGGAATGTCCTTTGCCATACGTGAACAAAAAATGTTTACATCTTATTGCAGCAAATTTACTCAAAAATAATTCGTACTTTTCCTCAAATATTTCTAAGATGTTTTGCATCAAGCAAATTTTTATTTCATGCATTTCATTTCAAGCCATAATCATTCGAGTCGCGAAAATACAGTACAGTACTCAAGAGTTCTTCGATTTTGTTGAAGACTTTTGGGAAATCAAGACTTTAAAAGAAATGTAAAAAAGGATTCCTAAAGCAGTACCTTTCCTTTGGGATAAAGCATATTACAGCGGATTAAAAACAAAAAATCACAACACCAGCTGTTGGATAAGCATTCGACTTCGTAATTTTCTCGCGGAATAAATGAAAGTTGAGAAGGAAGGAAAAAACATAAATTAATGATTCTGGAGTGGATCATATTAGACTGAGTTTCACTCGAGCAAGCCGGGGGAAATCTTACTGGTTTACATCTCTGTCGATTACGGAGACGAGAATCCGTCTAACCTTGACCAGAGCAATATTACACCATCCAACGAATTGTTCCAGGACAAATTTACGAAAAGAGAACAGCTAAGGAAAACTGCGATTTATTTATTTAATTGTGCAGGATGATGTACAAGTGTTCACAGTTCCGGAAAGCGAAGGTTATAATGAAAGGAGAGAAGCATAATGCTGGAGCCAGCTTGAATCAGATTTTTTCCCTTCATCATTTTCACCGCGTGCCGAGAAGTCGGCGGTTTTAATTGTACGCCCGGACGAAAGAAAATGCAGGCCCTAATTGCGGAGACATTTTTGTCGAGGTCAGGGGGTGCCAATTAAAAAAAAAAAAAAGTTGAGCAAGAGGTCGTTTAATCGCACTCACATGAGAAGAGAAGCCCATTCTGGATCGACGTCGTTCGGAGCCGGCTTGGCGCGCGGCACCCGGGACCGAAGGTACTCGTCACGCATGCTGTGGTGTCGACTGGGCGCGTAGGAACCCAGAACGATCCGAGAATCCTTACCGTTCACGACACGATTCGATCTCACGCTCGACACCAGTGGCAAACACACTTTGCTCAGTTCGGTCGGAATGGAGTCGATGTCAACGTGGGGACGGAACTCGGACTTGAGGTCGGGAATGTCCTGCACATCGCACAGCATTCCTTCCAGCAACTGGTCGAGCTCCTTCTGCCTAGCATCGTAGCCTCTCCGCGGCGCCGGGCCCTCGGCGCCCGCGTTCAAGGTCCCGTTGGGAATCTGGGTCGGCGGGCCTTCCACCATCAAAAAGCCGCTTCCTCTATTCTTCATCTCCCGATCATCCTTCGGCGGGCCCGCCGAGCGATGGGTCCTGACCAGAATACGGATTGGGTCACCTTCACGCACTCTCGCCTGCTCGCGTACCTGACGTGATTAATCCATCCACTGGCCCGCAACCACGCAGTCCCCTTCGCGGGGTGACGAAGCACTCAGATGGCGACGATCGACCATGGCCTCAGTCACTATCCATTACCCACATCGTCCCGTTCACGCCTGCGAGGGGAGCAACAAAATGCAAAATCAGCGCCGAGGACAGCTGAGCGTCAGACACAACTGGGCGTCCGCGGAACACCTGACTGCCTACGTGATTTCTCAACGAGTGGCTGACTAAGTTTGCAATGTTCCATGCTTCTTAATACAGGAGGAGTCTCTCTACAACAAAATCGTAGAGAAAACTTCGTTGTAGAAAACCCCTACAACAAGGATAGAGAACCCGATGGGACCAAACGAAAATTCGTTATACAGATAAAATCGTTGTAGACAAGATTGCATTCACTTATACATCACTTCTGCGGAACTCTTCGCGACAAAGATTATGGAAGTTCGCTTCGCGGAGCCCGAAGACCTCCACGAAGAAATAAAATATAATTAGTGAGAGGAATGCAGTACATCGGATTCTGGACATGAAAGGAGATTTCGTGACGCCAAGAAATAGGGTCGCAAAAAAAAAAAAAAAAGGAACACATACTGTATGTCCTTATACGTAAGGAAAAGAACGAGAGAAAAAATCTGCCCCATCACCGGCATAGCAATCGATTCTAAATGTGCTCAGCAGCAAGCAAAAAAAGTTTAGAACCTCTTCTTGCGCAATGTTTCATAAGATACACGGGTCACTTAAGTCACTCAGAACTACGGAACATTAAAAATGTTTATGCACCCGTTGAAAGTGAGCAATTCGAGAGCCAGGTGTCCTACGTTCATTTGGGTGGCGCTCAGTTGGCGCGTCACGACAAAACGCCGCCCGTCGGTCTCCATCTGCACGACATTTCTCTCCTAAAAATATACAAGCACAAAAAGCTAATGGGGGAACAGTTCGTCTCCCGAGAGAATGACGAGACGCGGTTCGTGTTTTGGTGACTCGGCTTGTCCTTCCCTTGTAAGGTCGTCGAATACCACGACCTGACGCGGATCCAACGTTCGTGACCGGAGTAAAAATACCTGCGACGCTTCTGAAAAGTCACGCTTTCCTTCCTACTCAATTGCGAAAAAGATTGATAAAAAAAAACAAAGCCCCCTGTCTCTTTGGATTCAAATCAAAGAAAAAACGAGGAGATCGTTTTTTAGAACGACCAATTTAAATCGAAAGGGAATGTGAGTTCTGGGACTCGTTCTTTTATGACTGTGCGCCCTTCGCGAACAAAATCGTAATACTGTCCTGCATTACACATTATGCAAAATTTCATCGTTTTCATTCTGAACATACCCGGCACAGAGCATGGATTAAATCCGTAAAATGTTGCAATCCTCAAGAGCTTTGACTCGCGCAATGCTTTCGGTACCTCGCACTTCGTAGAGTGTGCCCATAAAAGTGGTCGGTGGACGTGAACAAAGCCGTGAAAAATCGGGCTTTCAAGTGGGCTCATTCCAAGAGCTAATTATGTCCGCAATGTGGGGCCAGATAACCTCGGATGATTGAAGCCCACGACACCGATTCATCACAGCGCCACAAAGCACCTCGAAAGGGAGACTTATCGTCCGAGATGCGACGTGATCATTCGCAGCTCGGACTTAACACAGGTTCGACTTGTCCTGATCCCAGCTTGACCCTGCGAACGTGCCTTAGAGACTTGAAGGAAGGACCGAGTTGCGAAATAATTCCAGCGCGGCGACTGCGCGCAATGGTTACCAACGAGTCACACACGCAACACGAGACGAAAGATATACGTTCATTTTCCCGAATCTCGAGAACCGAACCCACGATTCTTTCTTTCTTGGATATTCATCTGGCTTGTCATGCATTATGTTTCCTGGAGACTCGCGGGCTGCGGGATATAATAATACGACAGTGTAAGCCATGACTGTCACGTTGACGGACTTCGCAACGACGTTCGGATTCGTCAAGAGAAACGACTATTTTCATTCAATCTGGCTCCGTTCATCACTTCAAAAAACAAGGTAGTTCACGTGGATCTAAAATACCCTCGAAATGTCATTGAGATATAAGCAGAATCCGCAATTTTCGGCTAGAATGCGCGGTACAGCATTTATATCATTTGACTCGATCATGCTTCTTTTGATAAAGAAAATGGAGTGCAGGAAAATGCTATGAAAAAATAGAAAATTGGCGATACCGAAACAAATTGTTGCGCTGAATTTCTGTGAAAAGTGCTAAGGAGGAACAATTATACAATACACTTGACTCTCTGCAACGGGTCTAGAAGTAATTCTTATGCGAAGATCCTCAATTTAGAGGATCTGTTTTTTTTTTTGCAGGGAGAAAATCGTTGGAGAAAAAGTTGTTGCAGTAAGAGTCTAACTGCATTATTATGGGGATCACTTGGTCTTGCCGAATGTTACTGTTACCGAAAACATTTTTTTGTAAATAAAGCACTTCTGTTTTTGCGGAAAAATATTCTTTCCCTATTTCCGTTGGACTGCTGAGGCTACCGTGAAAAAAAGCTAGTGGGAAAGAGAATCCGGCGGCTCAAAAAGCACGCCGAACGAAAAGCCCGTGCGTACAAAAATCGAGCATAATTGACCAGCATGCGAGCAGGCATCCATGTCTAAAAACTGCTTAGGCTGGTTTTTGTTATTTATTGTGCGTTATTAAACTCGGATGATGTAAAGATTCGTCTTATTTCATTAGTTACAACACAAGATTATTTCAAATCGCGCATGCTGTAATGTACAAATATTTACCGGCGGTGTTTTTGTAGCTGCGGGATTTTCACCGGCACCTTTTGTTGGCTATAGTGTTCATTCCGCTTCCCAACAACACCCCTGGATGAGCCCGTCGGATAATTTGACTGTCCAGATGGCATATTAGCCACGGTGCGTGGCATCCTCATCATCAGGGTTTCGGGGAAGCCCAAGAGGGGGAAAGTACAGGTAATCGAGTTAGCAGTGGGAGACTTGGAAAAATAAAAGTCAGATGCCAAGCTAGTCCACCTGTTCGAATCACACCGCCGTACTTCCTCCCACTGTTAATCACCCAGAATGGTTCCCCTACCAGCAGGTGAAAGCCTTATTATTCCCCGTTACACCACCAGAAATGAATGTGTGGAAGTAAAAACTAGCGGTTTTCTACGGAAGCTCACGAGACCCCTTTTTGCTGCGACAGAACCCCTCATCAAAATTTTTGCGCGATTATTAAAAGCTGATAAAATGTGTTCTGAAAACTTACGAAGGCTATCATCGTTGAGCCAAGTTCCCGGATTATCTAAAAAAAAATCCATTGGCTGAAATTCCCGCGAGAAAATATTGTACCCGTCGTCGAATGAGTGTAAAATAAAATGTGATCCGCTGCGAAGGAATCAGATACTGCGACAGAATTTCTTTCAAAAATACCGGATAATTTTACGGTTCCAGCTTGCAAGCAGCGATCAATTAGATTAGATCACCGTAATTGAGCAACCTGCGACCTCCGGTCAGGAACAATAACGAGATGAAAATAATATAAACTAGAAACCTCATCAACCTCGCCCAAGGCTTCAAACTCGTAATTGAAGCTCGGTCTGATCTGTCGCGAGCTGCGTATTTTTCTGCCCCGTGGCGAAGGCAATTTGTTCGCTCTACCATTCGTGCTCCGTACTTTTTATTCCAAGGCTTCGAGCTTAATCTCGAGACAATGTTTGCAGTTCCATCGTAATCACGTGGTGTCATCCGACGAGAGAATCCTTTAATGCTGTTTACGAGCTTCGTGAGGCAATTAATTTTCTAGGAAGAACCTTCCGCGAGGTCGGAGGTCAGAAAGCAGAATTCACGAAGTGATCACTTCAAGGTAGGCACTAACTTTTTTGTCGCAAGAGAATTACCATTGAGACTAGATTCTCCGAACAAATCTGACGCTTGAAATTACCCGATTAATCGTGAGAAAAATATTTTTTAAACATAAGAGTACGTCAGCAAGAAGTTTTTATCGCGGGCGGATGGAACTTGGGGATAAATTTATAAACACTGTTTCCAGAAAGTTTTCAATTTAATTGGAAGAAATTGAAACGAGATCCAATCATATATTGCAGCAGTAAGTATTTGACGGACCTCTAATGTTGAGCATCACGGAGCATAAAAAAGAGTGGAAAAAATAATGCATGCTTAGCTTTAGTTTCACTTTGCAATTATCCTTCAATAAATTGCTATTTTTTTCAGCTAATTTGCTCTAGAGGTAACCAACTTTTAGCATTAAGCATATTTTCATCGGAAGTTCGGATTGTTCAGCCCCTGTATTTGATTCATTAATTTACTCGTAATGATTTAAGTCAGCTTCTTAAATACGTTGAGTTGTGCACATTGAGTGAGTATTTTGGGCTGCGGCATGTGACGTGGGAGATTCCGTGAGAAGTCATAAGAACGCGACTTCACTGCAGGAATCATCCCGACTCTCGAAACAGATTCGCAAAATGTAATCGTCTATTTACTCTATACGATCTTCTCGACAGAGAACGGGTTCTTTTTTATTCACAACATTTGCTGGAAAGGGATACTTCCTTCTTATACCATGCCCTCCTACGTACGTACAGCACTTTCATACACAAAAATACGACGAGGTATGCAGGTGAATCGGAAGACTTTTGAGGAAGCCCTCAGGGATCAAACTTGATGTGATTACTGAAGTTGGGTGAAACGACGACGTCGACAAGAAGGAAAATTCAAAAGATTCAGAGGAACAAAAGAGGTCCAAAATTATAATTCAGAAGGCGAACCTGGGAATGCGCTTCGCGTAATGATTTCCAACACCGCGTCTGCTGCTGTTGCGGCTCAGAATGGCCTGCGGTTGACGCAAATCGTGACGCGAAGTAACTGACAGCTTTTCTATCTCGCAACCGCGCAATAACTTTCAGCGAGCACTTCTATCCCGAAATGAAAAAAATATTTATTAATTTTTGCGCGAGGTTTTCCGGACGATCGTCCGCCACAGGCGGCTAAATCAATACCGAAGTATAAGGAGATACAGTGGCAGGATGAGACGCACACTGAATAAGATTCAATGCGAAGCGAAGCTCATATTGGCAAAAAGCACAAGACAAAACATGTTTTATTCAATGGATTTCTGCGTTT